GGTCATTTTAGTCAAGGTCTAACTTTATTTTTTTGTGTGTTTTGTGGATATCCAGTTTTCACAGCACATTTGTTGAAAGGTCTTAGCATCATTGTAGGAAATTGATCCATGCAAGGGAGGGTTTATTTCTGGGCTCTCAATTCTATATCCTCACAATAATCTATACATTGCTTTGGGTAGGTATTTCTATCAACAATGATGTCTTTCAATCTATGAACACAGGATATGTGTTCATTTTAGTCTTTATTACACTCAACAATGTTTCCATGTACACATCTTGTAGTTTCTTCCTTTTGATGTGTCTGTAAACAGAATTGTTTTCCTAACGTCCTTCTTTTGGGCTGCTCAATGCCAGTGCATAGTGGTGCTCGGTGTAGAACTGGAAAAATGTTAGAACTCACATGAAATTTCAAGGATAGTACTTCCTTGGCTAGAAATACAGTAAGAGTTTATTCCATTTGTCTTCTCCCGACAGGGGAGAAGGGGTGAGGTAGGGGTGAGGTCATTGAGTTGGGGAGTTAAAATGCACAAATCGTTGCCATCCCATCCCTGCTGCTCACTGGGGCCCTGGAGCAAGAGGTGGCTTACAGCACTTCCACATGACTGCATGCTCCTTGTGTGGTTAAACTCTTGAATGTTTGCCAATCTGATAGGTGCGAAATAGCTCAGCTTAGTTTAAATTTACATTTCTCTGATGAGTAAAATTTAGCACCTTTCCCATGTTTTAAAACCTTTTTGAGTTATCTGTTCATGTCTTTTGAAAACATTAACATTGTGAAATAAGAGTTTCCTCATTTCAGAATTAGATTCATTAAATGGAATTTAACATTAGAAGCTTTAAGTCGTCGCCCCCGCTTTACGGTGTCACATTTGGCAAGTTCCTTACCCACTCTGTCCTCCCATTCTGTTCTTATCTGTACAGTGCTAACAGCCCTCTCTCCTCAGGTCTGTATCTACTGGATAACGTCCCATAAACGCCACATGCATTTCAAGTTTCTCCCACATTAAAATGTGCAACCTTATATCCTTCTTGACTCCTCTACACCGTCCTTTCCCCCTTCATTTCACAGGTATAGAGACACTCGTGGAGACAAGTCAAAACACGCACTTTCCCTATTTCATTTCCCACGTGTTCTCAAAACATGGGGTCTCTAAGCCTTCTGCCCTCATTACTCTTGCTACTATTGCTAAGACCATACCTAATTTCTCGTCCTAGGGTCGCCTTTGTATCCTTATTTCATTGGCACCTCTGAGCATCTGCTATGGTTCATGACTCCCTCCTTCTGGAATTAGGTCAGACTGCATAAATACCTAGCCTCGTGTCTGGCACAAAAAAAGGGGACTAACAAATGTTTGTTAAACGAATGCGCAAATGAGAGAAATAAAGCATTCTGAAAATCGCTAAGTGCCAGGCAAGCACTGTCACCGTGTTATCAGGGACCTGCAAACTGGGTGTTGATCTCAAGGACATTGTGCTGAAGATCCATGTACGAAAAGGCTGCTAATGATGGACAACTGACCTTTTTTCACAGACCAGGGCTGAAATTTCTGTGCTCAACCTTAGAAAACTAGCTCCCTCACCAAAGAAAGAGGCAAGAACTACAAAGGATTTCAGAGGCAGAAGCCCGACAATGGCTAAACTGGGGCCAGGGGCATGTGACTTCTTAATTTAGAAATGTAAATCCCTTGATGAACTCTACTCACAGGGATGGAAATAACCCTGACGTGATGGGGCGGGGTGGGGTGGCTAAAGGCCATGGCTTTCACCTCCCTGTTCAGAGAGAACTCTAACAACCTGAAATGACATGTACCAAGAGGCAAAGTTAAACGCATTGGCTACTGACTCATTGAATCCCATGCCAAGTGCATTTGGGTGATGGCTAGGGCTGCCTTTAGGCTCAAGTGGAATGAACTGAGGTCCATAACTGCGCTTCTGTCCTCAGTACAGGTATGTACTGGCAAGCATGTTCACCTCTTGGGGCCTCCACAGACCTAACCTGAGTTCTTACACTGACATAATTCTACAGGGGTTTCCACT